TCCGGTTCCGATCCAAACTGCTCCCAGCCTCAAAACCGATTAACCGTTCCGATTCGATTTTGCGAACATTGATTCCCCTCATTAATGCAAATATATCATTTAGAAGTTTATGACTAATAGATGATGTACAAACGATGCTGAAATATCTTTTAGAAGAATTACAAACCCATATACCGTTCTTCGAATGGTATGACGATTAGTTTCCACATCGCTATTCTGAGTCACAAAAGATATTAATGCGGCCATTAATTCCATTCAAACTAATTCTAACCTTAGGACCACAATAAAAAATGAAGAAATATCTTCAATATATCCTCTTAATAAAAGTATAATTATCTCTAATAATATGTTAGCAGTACCTCTAAGAGGCTTCTAGAATACTAAGAACAAAAGGCATAGTAGAGCAACAAAACTATACAAATCTTTATTCACAGACCATAGGATCTGAAACAGAAAGAATAAAAACTATTCTAGAAGATATTAGAGATAAGATTCAACCAATAAAACAAATTATTTTTACATAAAAATGAAAATAATTATTCCAAAAAACTTCTCCAAAAGTAATAATTCCTAAGCCAATAAGCCAACTTTTACCTTTTGGGATAAAGCGCTTAGTCACCTCAATGCTTAATATTTATAGGGTGCAGTTGGCATACTTTTGCATCCGTACCTGTAGAGGTAACGTGCACCTTCAAATTTTATCATGGTATATAATTTTGATGTAAAATGTTTTTAGGATTATGTCAAAATCTATTTTTATATCTAATTATAAAATTTTTAATTTTAAAAATGGTTAAAATTAAATAGATCTATAAACATATGAAAATTTTGAAAATAGACGGTGTAGATAATATGTTGTAAAATGCACTATTTTTTAGACTTAAAATCTTTTATTTTTCATGGTCATACATCTCGTCATACATCTCGATGATCAATCAAATTTTCAACATTAAAACTACCTTTTTCGATAGATTTTTGAGGTGCATCCGTAGTTCTACATTATAAAGTTGCATCCTTATGTAAACTTTTCCCATTTTTATAAAATAACAAGTTTAGTAAAAGAACTTTAAATATTCCGATAAATGAACTTGATTTTTTAACCAATGAACTATCAAAGTTACCTCTTAGAAAGCAAATAAATATCGTATTTGAACCAAATAATAGTGAAGAAGTCTCAGAGGATTCTCAACCTTATTATTCTACAAAATAAATTGATACTGATTCTAATGAAAAAAAACCAAAATATTTTAAAAATACCACTGAGACAGAAAGGATACTTAACACTATGAATGTTACACGAAATGTTATGACCAAAAATTATTATGAGCGTCCATCACCAATAGACATTCAATTTGAAGAAATCTAATATATTGTCACTTGGGATATTTTTCGGTGAGACTATCAATGAATGGATTGTTGATGAATTTTTAAATAATATCCAAAATATGACTATGTATGTTACATTTTGTTTATTAAATCAAGGTGGATGTCATTGATTAAGATATCAGAAGTGAAAGAAGCTTTGAAGATGATGAAGATAAGAAATGCTTTAGGACTAGATGGTTTCCAATAGAGGTTTGAAAGTACACAGGAAAGGTTGGCATTGACTAGCTGACCTAGCTATTCAACAAGGTGTTGAAAACAAGAAATGCAAGATGAATGGAGGAAAAGCATTGTAATACTTATTTACAATAACAATTGTGACAAACATAATTGCGCAAATTATCGAGAGATCATATGAGTCACACTATGAAGCTGTAAGAGAGAGTAATTGACCAATAATTAAGGCATAAAACGAAAGTGTCAGAAAACCAATTCGATTTTATACCAAGGAGGTTAACAACTAAGGCTATTTTTCTATTTAGGAAACTGATTGAGAAGTTTAGGGCAAAAAAAAAAGACCTCTATATCGTCTTTATTGATCTAGATAAAGCTTATGACAGAGTACCTTGATATTTGATTTAGTGGGTGTTAGACAAGAAATGAGTCTTCACTACATCGACTTGGTGAGAGATCTGATGAGGGAGTACTAACTAGTGTATGAACAACCAGTAGAGAGATGAATGACTTTTCAGTGGCAATAGGTTTACATCAGAGGTCAAGATCAAGCTCATACCTCTTTGTCTTAGTTATGAACGATCTAACTAGGCACCTACAAGATGGGGTACCATGGTGTTATTGTTTGCAGATGACATAAAAATAGCCTCAATAAAAAGTTAGAACTTTAGAATGATGCTCTATAATCTAACTGATTTAAAATTAGCCGGACCGAGACAAAGTATATGAAATACAAATTGAATAACAATAGGAGTAGAGACAAGGAAGTAGTTAAGATTGACGGACAATAAATACCAAAAAGAGCACACTATCGATATCTTGGATCGATAACCTAGGAAAAATGGAGAGTTTGAAGACGATGTCGCGTTGAGCGAGCAAAGTGGAGATGTGCACCAGAAATTTTATGTGATCGCCGCACACCAATGAAGCTGAAGGGGCAAGTTCTATAGGACAGTTGTGAGGCCTGCTTTGCTTTTTAAGGCAGATTGTTGAGCACTCAATAAACAACATACCAATAGAATGAATGTAGCTGAGATGATAATGTTGAGATGGATGAGTGGCAAGAGAAGAAGGGAAAGAATTGAAAATGAATACATTTAAAAGAATTTATGTGTGGCACCAAATAGACGATAAGATAAGAGAAAATAGACTTAGGTGGGTCAGCCATGTGTGGCACAGACCTAGTACAATAGAGCAGAGTGACGAACTGGGATTCATGTAACAGACCTCAATTAGTTGGGAATACGCTTTGATGACGATGATGATTATTTTTATAGTTATAAAAACCTATGCTTTCTTATTTTTGAAGGGAGTTTTTATTGATATTATAACGGTGGTATGTCAGTGTTCTAACATATAATTATTGTATCAAAACAATCAATATCAAAACTATTTTTATTATCATAAATACTAAAATGAAAAACTATATTTTATTGTATTTTATTACAATTAAAATAAATATAGTTAATTTATTATATAAAAAAATTAATTATAGATATTTTATGGTATTTTATTATAATTAAATTAAATATAATTAATTTATTATAAACATATTAATTATAGTTTCATTAATGATAATTGTGATAATTATATAGTGTCACAAATTTTGGGTCAGTATTATTAATTTAGTTTTATGTAATGAAAATTTTATAAATTTAAATATTGATAAATAATATTTTATCAATAAGAATTAAAACTATATGAATAATTTAGTATTGTATTGAATATTAGTTAATTACAAAAATTGGAGTCATAGTTAAATATTATGAAATGTTATATTCATGCAGGTAAATTATGTTACGATATATTTATACTAATAAAATTATGATTATTAGAATTTGATAATAATATAATATTATTATTATTATTTATTTTATATACATAATTATAATAATTAAAACACATAATATTAATTAGTTTATTAAACTGATATTAAATATAGCGATAATTTAGTTCAGTATAAATGCAATAAGAGCCTCTAAAGGTTGCTTGATTTGATATATCAATATTTTGTGTTATTACAAAATATCATATAAACAATTGACTCATTTTGTTAAGGGTGTGGTTTGTGCAAGGCTCATGCACTAAACAATCAAAGCTTACTTAGTGTCGAAAGATGTTATTTCAATACTGAAAATTTTTGTGGTGGCCTGAAAATTTATTAAAGCTTGAAAAATAGTATAGATTGAGTATATCTATGAACACTTGAAAATATTGAAAATTAATGGTCTGAAATCGCATTACAAGATGCACTATTTTCTAGACTTGAAATTCAGTTTTTCTCATGTCCATACATCTTGAGTTTAAGAAGATCAATTTGAGGATTTTTTACATCGAAACCACATGTTCGAATGAAATTTTTGAGGTACGCCATAATTTGATTGTTTGGAGCCTCGCCCTTGTGTAAACTTTTTCCATAAACAAATATCTGCTATTCATTCACATCGTAGAAAGATAGTGAGCTATATTTCTCTATATTGTTTGTTAAGTATGTCCATCAATATGATGTGTCTTGTTAGTTCTTATTTAAGGAAAGGAAAATTGTTTCATGCAAACTGGATCACATTTCTACAATATGTGGTCCCAAGGTACAAAGCATCCATCTTAGAGATGGATGAACCCAAGGTACAAAGCATCCATCTTAGAGATGGATGAAAATATGTGATTCATCTAAAAACAATTGAAATAACAGTCCAAATATTTTTTTAATAGAATTATTATTTCTAATTCACAAAAAAATTTATTTTTTCATATTCATGATCTCCATGTTAACGATTAGATGTCCATAAAAATTAAGTCCAAAAACCCATCTCTAAAATAGATTTTTAAGAGGTGGCTTATTTCTACATGGACTCATAGAGACCATGTCCATAAGAAAAAGCATACTTAACAATTTCAAAATATTTAAAAATTAAAAAATATTTCCTCACTAATTCTAGAAGATATTTGCTATTTGAATTCAAGCCCTTCTCCACCAATCTTTTCAAGATATTAGTTTTGGGCGTGGTTTCTATAAGGTTACAACCTTCAACAATCCAATTAAGGCGCACCTCCAAATATGATCATAACATGTAATTTTGATATAAAAAAATCTTAGGATTATCTAAAAATTTATTTCAATAGCTAATTATAAAATTTTAAACTCCAAAAATAGACGGTCTACATAATGTGTTGCAAGATGCACTATTTTTTTTCCTCAAATTTTATTTTTTATATATTCATACATCTCCATGTCGAGATAAACAATTATAGGGTTTTTCAACATTAAAACAACCTTTTTCAATGGATTTTTTAGATGCATCTTTAATTCTTCATTTTACGGTTGTAACCTTATATACTTTTTCCATTAGTTTTTGAAAGATAATATTGTAGTTTCCCCCACTATTATCTCCATATGCATCGAACAATTATTAATGAGCCCTGTGAATGGCATCCAAATATAGAAAATAATTAAAAGCATACTGCCATTTCATAGTTTGCATGTTTAAAACTTTCAATAAGGAGCCGCATAGGCAATCTATATTAAGAACAACTTGGGTATAAAATTCTTCTACCATTTGAAAAGTAACAAAGTTTATCATTTACTGGTTTAGGAAATCATGGATTTGCAGTCACCTCAAAGGGTTTTTGTTCTCATGCTACTCTTGATTGTCACCTCCACTTCATTTTTCAAGGTGTCCTCTGCTACAAAAATTACTGGACTCAGGCAAAACCTCATCCATCGCGACTCCTTATCATCTCCTTTTTATACCCCTAATCTCACAGACCATGATCGAATGAGGCAAGCCGCCCGCCGCTCCATCGCCTGCCACTCAGCCCTTGTCGGATATTTTGCGGCATGGGGAACAAGATCATCGACAATGACTACCTCATCAAGGTCGGGATAGGGAACACGAAAAGAGATTTCTTCTTGTTAATTGATACTGGGAGTGACTTGGTGTGGATAGAGTGTGAACAGGGTGAATCGGGCTCCAACAGTACCGACCCCATTTATGACCCCGCCACATCTTCGAGTTATCAAAGCATTGCCTGCAATGAGACTCTCTGTAAGAATATGAATTCATCGTGCACTACTGATTGCTTTTATGAGGTTTAAGTATCGAGATGGTACATTTTCAAATGGCATACTGGAATAAGAAACCTTCACCTTTGAATGGATTGAAAACATTAAAAATAATTTTACCTTTGATAATAATACTGATAATAACCTTTCACCAAGCATTGAGAGAAATATTGATACCAGAATTACTAATGGCCAAGTTGTACTGGCAATTGGCAAAATAGGATTTGGATGCAGCATTCATGACTCTAATCCTGGAGTTATAGGCTCTGCGCTGGTGGGTTTTGGGGGAGGGCCTCTCTCCCTTGTTTCTCAACTGAGTCCCTACTTACCCAAGAGATTCACATATTGCCTACGGACAAGTGGCGCCGGCGTCATGCTTATGGGCAATTGCGCTGACATCAAAACACCCGGTATGAAGTCTACACCGATTTATCACCTCTTGAACCTTGAGGACATTAGTGTCGGCTCCAAGCGTATTGGCATACCACCGGGCATCTTTCGATCCAAGTCAAGAGAAAACAAAGAAGTTGGTCATCAACTCCGGTTCGCCTCTCACTTTTTTGGACCGGATAGAATATAATCAACTGGTCCAAAATGTGATGGCCTCTAGCAATAAGTCATGGACTCCAGACCCCTTGAAGGAATTTGATCTTTGCTACAGTAGTAATGATAGTTCAAGAGATATTGCAGGAATCCCAGATGTTAGGCTGATTGGAGAGTGGATCCCAACAATTTGTTTATGAAGATGGACTCAGAGTTGGTATGCTTGATGATGAGGTCAACTGATTCTTTCTCCGTCTTTAGTAACTTAATGCAGCGAAATATGGAGGTGGAGTATGACCTTGTGAACGAGAGGCTTTCCTTTGCTCCGGCAGATTGCACAAAGATTTAGGGTTGAGGGGCATATGCTTATGCCATTTTTTCTGTGAAATAAATTATTGCTGAAAATGAGAATGTTTAAAAACATGGAGATTATCTGGTATACAGCAATGCCCTCCCTGTTGACCATTTTTTACGTAGCAATACATTTTTTGTTTTTTTTTTTTTTGGTAATTGTTATTTTGCATGCCCTTGAAGTTGGTAAAAACCAATGAAAAAATTATGACTCGGCCATGGAGCTCTGAGCCAAGTAACTCGGACTCTGCCCCAGTGGCCCGAGTCCTGTCAAGCCAAAAAGTGTTAAAAAAAAAAATCAAAAGCAAAAACATCCCAAAAAATAGGAAACTATGCTTAAGGTATAATTGAACAAAACACATCTAAATGAGGTTAAAAAGTAATGAAAAAATGAATTTTGAAAAAGTCAATTTGTGACGGGGATATTTTAGAAATAAATCCAAAAAGAAGAGAAAATGTAAGAATAAGTATTCATGGCAAAGCACTTTTCAATGTTTGCAATGATGGAAAACATATACAATCATATTACAAATAAATTTCTTAATTTTTAGATTTTATAATATTTTTTTAAGATCCCCGAGCCAAACGACCCAACTAAGGTATTCTCACAAGGGTGGCGAGTCTAGTTGCTCGGTCGAGTTTGAGTTGGCTCACCCGAGTTTTTCTCCTCTCGTAAAAGCACCTGCGCTTCCTTGAGATGAGAAAATCAAAGGTCATTAAAGATGGAAAGAGAAGTCAAAACTCAGCAAGAGTATTGATAAATTGGGAGGGGATGTGGTCAATCTTTGGCCAGGGATTTACTGTAGCCAGCATCATGCAGTCTACTTCTGCTGAACTGTTTTAGCCATAACTTGCCGACGGTATATCCGATTGAAGTGAGCGTTAGACTGTTGGAAATATCTTCCCATTCTCCTCGACATGTTATGTAAATATAGCTCAGTTTTCCAATGGTCAATTCTAGGAAAGTCTAGGGTTTCTATATGGTACAATGCATCAGAGATGCTATATGGATGAGCAGTAAGATACGAGATGAAGAGACAACGAAAGTTAGATTAGGAATACTAGCTCGAATCTCAGGTTTCTGCAATTACTCCTCATTGATGTTCATTAGGCACACAGGGTCGATTGAATGTCAAAGAAGTGGACGCCTGCAGGTGGAAGGGATCAATGCAATATTTATACATCGTCCTAGTACAAACCACGATACCAATCAGATGCAAAAAGGATCATGGATGAGGGAGTTGGTATGCACGGCATCCTCACCACAAGACATTGGAAAGGATCATGACTTAGGGAATTTGCAATGCTTATCATTGAGAAAGACCGAGGCTCTCATTGCCGAACTAGGTAGCTAATTGGATAGTGATTCATGGTGGGCAGCATGGAATCAGTTCCAGGGTTAATCTCTGTCTAGACAAGATCTATTACCAGACTAGGGGTTGTGGCTTATTTAAAACACCTTGCGGTTGTTCATAAAAGATTGCTTCAAGTGTCGAACATGTTCCTTGGGCATTAACGATCAATTTGCAAGTGATCAGGACTAAGCCACATGCAATTTGGATTAGGTAAATTTAGAGTAGGCCACAAGAGGTCCAGTTAAAGACATTCTCTAAATGGAAAGGATCTGCTGCTAAACCTGAGGACAGAGGTTACGACAAATCGAAAACACCATGCAGGGTTCTCAAAAGGGTTAATACAAATAACCATTAAGCTCTACATCCCTTAGAAGTTAAGTTGCAAGTAGTCTGGACTAAATCACTTGCAATTGGGAAAGGGGATGGGGTCGTGGTGCTAGCACCCCACACTCTAGTCATCATATTGTGGTTTTCATTCCCACGACTAACACCACCCTACGAATACCTTCAAAAAGCTAATGCCTATGTACTTGAAAATCGGGTAGAGGCTTGCCTTTCCCACTGAATTAACCAAAAAAAAAAATCACTTGCAATTTTGATTTGGTTCCAAGGGATTATGTATCTTCTTGGATAGGGACTCTTAGTTCTATGGACAGGCATCGTAACTTAACACAAACAGTTTGTAGTTGTTTACAAAAAGCTTGGTACAAACATCCCATGTGTCCCTTATACATCAGGACTGCTTCGCACGTGGCTGAGGTTTGACTGGAGGCCACAAGAGGGTAAATCTAGGCCACATAAGGCAAGGATAAGGCATAATGCAATCAAAAGTATGGCACATGCAGCTAAGAGTAGGCTGCATGAGGCCCAAAATAGGCCACACGCGACCCAAACCAGGCTGCCAAAGATCATCTTTGACCTCACGCAGATACTTTTATCTTGCATTCATATGGATTTTGAAATTCAGTATGGATTTCGTATAATTCCTACTGAGTTCAGGATATTTGACATTTTTTTCTTTGTAGAGCCTTGTGCAAACCATATCCCAGCGCATTAAACCCTGGTAGTTTAAAAAAAAAAATTATATAGAGCCACGGCTTTGCGAGTTTATACCTATTGCAATGCACATCATGAGATGATTGCAAAAGAAAAGAATCTGGAATAATCAGTAGAGATTCTAGATACCCCTCCTCCTCTACGAATCAACACTTGATGTTTCTTCTTCCCACAATAGTTTCTTAGGTCCTGAGGAACCTTTTCTATTTGATCAAGGAGTCCTTCGCAAGTGATCAATCAAGAAGCCTTTGATAGATTAGGATGAGAGGTTCTTCAAACAAAGTGATTTACTAGAACCCATCTTTCATCAAAACCCTGAGGCTTTCTAGTGGGTTAAGAAGGAATTTTCCATCCCTATGGAGGACACGATGCTAAAGCTACAACAAGTAGATGAGTGCTTTAATGCAGGTTACCCAACTATTCCAGGTTGCCCCAAATTTGACAGACCTTCCATTCTCTTTTCCTTTCGTGATTTTCATCATTGCAATTTGGCTTTAAGCCAACGATTCTTCCTCTTTCAATAGAATAAGGACTATTTTTCCTTTTACTGAAAATTATTCCTTTTCTGAGATTTTTCTAATGATATGTAGTGCATTAGATCCTTGTGCTTCTGAAACCTCTACTATAAACTCCAGTAGGTCTATTCAAAATTGAATCTATAGGGGGCTAGGTTCTGACTGTATGCGGGCTCAATGTGGCCTCATGCAGCCATGATTAGGCTGCATGAGGCCTATTCTTGGCCACATGAGATCCAAGTTAAGCTCGATGCAGCATAAAATTGGCCACATACAACCAACATTAGGCAACATACAACCAACATTAGGCCACATGCAACTACTCTTAGCCTTTTGCGATATGATTTCGAAAACAATATGGCCTTTGAATTCTATTGGGAGTTTAAGCACATATTTTTATAAATTGTTGTCTTGTCAAGTCCAGGTCAGATCTGAGCTATCTAAGCTTTATTTATTAAGAGCTTGTCTATAAAAAGACTATTTATCTTTTGTACATGAATGTCACAATCATTTCCACCTATTAGATGTCAAATTGGATGGCTTGGGGTAAGTCATGACGTCCGAGAATTTTTTTTTTTTTTTGGAGCTTTGTGAATGTTCAATGACATTCTTTCAACCAACCATTTTGAAATTTGAGATATAAGATTGATTGTGACCTCCATGTACAAAAGATAAATGGTCTCTTTACATAATATTTTATGTTTCTTCTAGTTTTCTCTAACTTCATTAGATACTATCTCATTCATTTCCTCTTTTCTTTCCCTTCTTGCTATTGCTCCCTGTTTTCCCCCAATGGGATCAAATTTAGAAGACCTGTCTACTCCTTTTATGTCATTCCCTCGTGCTATATATGCTCTTCTTTTTGCTGAAACTAACTCAAATTTGAATGTGAGTTGCATATGATCTCAACTCCAAAGCATGGGCCGCACATGATATCGAATCAGGTGACATTGGATGGACATTAATCATCAAACAATAGTCTCATTTGGAATTGGTCAGGCATCAGTCGTAGCAGGCATTCGCCTCTGGGCATTTTCCACTTGACATTAGCTGTTAGGCAATTTCGATAGGACATTAACCATTTGGAATTGTTCATAAGACAATGGCTATGCGACATTAATCATGTGTGACTTAAGCTTCAATGAAGAGTCACCCCTATATGTGATTCCACATAATGGATCATATAGATTTAATCATGAAGAGTCACCCCTATATGTGATTCCAGAGAATGGATCATATAGACCTGTTTACGTGCGGGACCGAGAGGCAAGAGGACACGAGACCAGTCTGCCTCAGTTTGTGCTTTAACAATGTCGATGTGAGGGTAGATTGGGATTCTGTCAAATTGTAATCGGCAAAATAGGCCGAAAGCAGTCTCTTCTTCACAGACCATCGGCCGCAGCAGAGGTCGAAGTCTTGCTAAGATGTGTATCAAGCAAAAGTTTAAAGAGATGACTCCAAACACATGGACCAGATAACACACATAAATCATCCAATAAATTCTCTCCATATCAAATGAGAATCGGGAGATGTAGAGAACACATAAATCAGCTAATAAATTCACTCCAAATCAAATGCGAAGGGCGCTTTTTATTAAAGCAGGTTTGAGAAGAGTTCCAAGTGCTTCTAAGCAACTTGTTTTAATTACATCTAGCTTTTCTTGCAACAAATGGAACACCTTTGATATGATGTTACAAAAACACTAAGGGTCTGTTTGGTTTTTTGGATTCAAATTTCTAGGAGTCACTTTTTCTGCAAAAAGTCAAGCCAATTTTGTTTGGTTCGCTTAGAATTAACATTTCTATTGGAATTGAGATTTTTTGTAGGATTCCTGAATGCTCATTTTAAACTTATATATTAGAAATCTCAATTCCACTAAAATAGGTGGAATTAACATCTCATGAAAACGACTTATTTTCTCACGGACCTGTAACTACCCTGCCGTAAGTTTGATTGAATAAATTTTTTGAGGTCCATAGGATTCTCCAACCCTAGCGAGACTGAGGACCTTTCATTTGTGAATGAAAACGAAAATCTAGCATCATTGAAAACCTCTACCATATACCTTTTTTTTTTTTTTTTTTGGGTAATTCAATGGAGAAGATAGACCCCTACCCATTTTTTCAAGTAGATTAAGAGTTAGCTGTTTGAAGGCATTAGTGCTGTGATGTTAGTGGTGGGAATGGAAACCGCAACATAATAAGTAGAGTATAGGGTGTACCACCATGGCTCAAGCCCCTTTCCCACCTCTGCCATGTGCGGCTGAAGAAAGAAAACATATTCAAATTTTAGATAAAGAAGCTATATCAAATTTTAGAGAGAGAAAATATATTAAATTTTAAAAAAGAGAAAATACATTAAATTTTTTAGAGAGAGAATATATGAAATATTTTAAAGAGAGAAATCATCTCAAATTTTTAGAGACAGAAACTAACTCAAATTTAAAGTTTTAAGGAGAGAACCTTCAAATTTTAAAAACAAAAACTATCTCAAATCTTAAGTTTTTGATAGGAAAAGAATCTTAAAATCTTGCTGAGAGAAACTATATTAAATTTTAGAGAGTGGAACTGCATGAGAACTTTTAGAGAGAAATATCTCAAAACTTTTAAAGAGAAACTATCTCAAATTTTAAGTTTTAGAGAGAAAATATATTAAAATTTTAAAGATAGAAACTATGTCAAATTTTAGATAGAGAAACTACCTAAAAAATTTGAGAGAGAGAGAGCTATGTCAAACTTTTAAGTTTTTGAGAGAGAAAATATCTTAAAACTTCGGAGAAAAAAACTATCTCAAATTTAGATTGAGAAAGTACCTGAAATTTATAGACTATTTCAAAAATTTTAGATCGAAAAACCATCTCAAATTTTAAGTTTTAGTGAGATAAAAAGATTTTCTCAAAAAAACTATCTCAAAATTTTTAGAAAGAAACTCTCTCAAATTTTAAGTATGGGTGCGGTTTGTATAGAGCCTAGGCTCTAAATAATCAAATTAGAGCCTACCTTCAAATAGTATCGAAAAACGTGGTTTCAATACTGAAATCTTTTGGATAGCCTTAAAATATATTTTCATCTTTATTTTTAAAGTTTAAAGCTTCAAAAATAGTATAGATCGAGAGATATATGAAAACTTGAAAATCTTAAAAATTGACAATCCAAAATTGCGTTACAAAATACAGTATTTTCAAAACTTGCAATCCATTTTTTTCTCATGTTCATGCATCTTAATGTGGAGATGATGAATTAGAGGATATTTGAGCATCAAAACAACCTCTTTTAGTAAAATTTTTGAGGTAGGCTCGAATTTGATTGTTTAGAGCCTCGGTTCTATAAAAAAATTTCCCTTTAAAGTACTTTAAAATTTAGAGAGAGAAACTCCAATAAATTTTTGAGAGAGAGGAACCGTTTCAAAAATTTTATAGAGAGAAACCATATCAAATTTATAGTTATAGAGAGAGAAAGTATCTCAAAATTTTAAAGAGATAAACTATATCAAATTTTAGATAGAGAGAGTACCTAAAATTTTCAGAGAGAGAAACTATTTCAAATTTTAAGTTTATGAAAGAGAAATTGTATTAAAATTTTAAAGAAAAAACCATATCAAATTTTAGATAGAGCAAATTTTAGATAGAGCAAGTATCTCAAAATTGAGAGAGAGAAAGAGATTATCCCAAATTTTGAGTTTTACAGAGAGAAAGTATATCAAATTTTGTTATCAAACAATATCAAATTTTGTTATCAATCAATGGACATAAAAATGATTATATAGAATCAATGAATGGTTACACTTCTGGTTCCGGCATTGTTTTTTCCCTCTAAAGCTTTTCTCTCGCTTTGCTAGAGGGAAACTCGTCTTACATCACTTGTTTTCCCTCTTTTTCTTGGAATGGATACTTGTTTCTCGCTTTTACTTGAGTGGAGATTTGTCTTAGAAGGATACCGTTCATTTGTAAATATTTAGAGATGTTATGCTGAAGAGAAAGAGAGATTCTCTAATTACCTTTGTTGGTGTTATTCTAGATAGAGTTGGCGTTTGAAAAGGGAGAAAGACTCATTTCTTAACATTGCAGGGAGAAAACAATAGAGATAGAGGATTTGCATTTTCAGGAAAAAGATATTCCAAACAATTCAAACAGTGAATTTACACTTTCCTGGTTTCTACGATGCAGTCCAAACACCATATACTATATTCCAAAAAATTCCAATTTCAATAAGTAATATACACTTTTCCACATGAATGAAAAATCAAGGAATCAAGGGAAAAAATGTTACTTTTTCAAGTCGATGCGGTGACGAAGCAGTATGCGTCATCGAGCCTTGTGAATTGTACAACTTCCTCGGTGTTGTCTGCAGATTTCTTACTCCGAATTTCGGTTTGAATGATCGATCTTCTTTAGATTTAACCCATTCTGGGTTGATTTTTATCCCATTTCAAGTCTGGGATGGGCTCAAATATCCCTAAATTCTAGGTCTTCCTATTCCTCTTGGATTTACATAATTTTTAGGGTTTTTGGGATCTTTATGGGACATCTCCTATATTTTTTCTAGAAGATTAGGAAACCATTGAAGTTTAAATGGACTATGGGAGATGGTAAACTAGGGTCTATTAGGTTATTCTGGTCTTAGAGGTTTATTTGGCCATTTCAAGGTATTTTCCTAAAGTTTTGGGGAATTAGGGTTTAGAAAATTGGAAAAATAACCAATTTTAAAAGGGGCGTCTACACCGGTTTTCTGAATTTTTTAAAAGAAGTTAATTTTTTAATCTTTTATAAATAGGAACTCCCTCGTCCATACATAAAAGTTATAGGAGTATTTAAAAACTACTAAAATGTAAAATAAAGTCGTATACGTCTTCGAAAGTGAACTAAAAGCATAGTTACAAACTCTTTTAACTCATAGATATTGGGGCTTTTTAACTTTTTAAATCATAGTTGCAAATTTTTTTTGGCTTTTTAACTCATTGATAGTTACAACCGGTGTTCTAAACAACGGATCTGGCCGATTAGTCGGTCCTAGCTTGATCCGATTAGTCCAACCAATTCCGACTAGATGGGACGATTAGTACTTCGATTTTTTTCTGCAAAATATAATTTTGATAAAACAAAATCCCAAAAAACTCACAAAAACCCAAAAATATCCAAAAAAAAATAAAAAATGTTTAAATTGTACTTGTATTGCTTTTTTTATATTGTCACATAAAAAATAAAAAACAAATATCATAAGCATAATTGGGTTTCGGATAAAATGATTAAGGAAGCAATACTTTTTCAGTGATCAATATATAATAGATAATGTTAATATTATATAATATATATTATATATAATTTGTAATCAATATATACTATAGAATATAAATTACATTAATAAAACAAATATAAATATATAATATATAATATATTATATTATAAAAGAGTATAATATTTCAACTCAAGACAATGTTTTTTTTGGGTATTATGGATTTCAATTAAAAATATAGGTAAAATATAAAATTGATTCATCTCTTTGTGACAATTTTGATAAATTTCCATTTCTCTCTCTCTCTTATATGCGTCTATGTGCACCTGGGGGAATGGTTGTGTAGGTATTAGATTGAAGATCAAATCAGATGGACAACGAATAAATTTTATATCCTCGAGTTGAGGGACTTATAGATTTGGCACCCTATCGCCCCAGACCAACTCTAGTGCATCTGAGTCTACTCGCCCAAGGCGCCAAACCCTACAATTAGCACATAAAAAAATTTGAGAAAATTGTTTCATGCGGGCTGGACCACATTTCTACAATATGTAGTCCAGAGGTATACAACATCATCTTAAAGATTGATACAAATAGGTGGTCCATCTAAAATCAATTGTAACTAACAGTCCAAATGTTTTCTTAATATAATTATTATTTTTATTTTTTAATTCTATTTTATTTTTTCATATTCATGATCTACATGTTAAAGATTATATATTCTCTAATAATTTGGATCAAATTATATTTAAAAAATATATCTATTGCTAAGCCCGCATTTCTACAATATGCGGGCTGGCCGCATAGAAACCGTGTTCAAAAAGTTGTAATAATATATAAAGTTTTAAATAGAGAAATGAAAAAATAGGGAAAAGAAAAGAAAAAAGAAATATATAAAAAATGTTATAAGGAAAGCTTTGCAGACTCTGCACTATGACAATGCACTTATCAGACGATTTTTAGAACAAATCTCCTATTAGTCTGATTAGTACACTGAAAAAAATTCATGCATACATGACCGTTGGAATTGAGCTAAATCATGATCGGTCAGTGACCGATCCCAAGTTAGTCGGCCGAATTTTTAAAAATTGGCCTATCTTTTAAACATTGGTCACAACTAAGAAGTAAGTAATGATATTATGGCTTCTTATACCTAGGTTTCCTGGGAACAATTTATGGAAGTACAATTTGTAATAACTCGTGTTCATGATAAGGAATCTACATAATATGGATTTAATAATTTGTAACTACTCACTATATTTTTTAAACTTTTTAGAAAATATTAGAAGTCTACAGAGGTTAAATATATAAATTATCCACTATAGACATATGGTTGTTCTTAGTGTTGGGTTTATACGTCCTTTAAAGGCCTTATGAGTGTGTAATGAAAAACATTTATTATAGTGGAACATAAACTCAGTGGGAGTATGGTCCTTCGGGAACCATATTAAGTAAATAATGTTTGTTAATAGCGGACTGTACTTGACGATCTAGGCCAGTCGGTTGGAAAAGTACCTAGGCATAGAGAATAAACCGAGAAGGGTTTTGGGTTATCTTTTGATGAGTCGGAGCTTATGTCTGGATGAGTGAGGCGAGGAACTGTGTGACCTTTGTGTGTGATGGTAGGCATACAGAGACGGGGGCCAAAACCTCATCTATGATCCATCACACGGCATGCATATCGATATATCATTCGGAAAAACTAGATATCCACCTTTGGATGAAACATATGCATGTGCGAGAGATACCCATATGTACCATAGAGCTGTGGTCGCATCAGGTCGTGGTGACCTTGACTCGTCTCTAGGGGAGGACATATAATCTACAGACTGGGATTGCGACCCCTTGGCTCATTGGTCAGACTTTGATGACCCGCTAATGAGCCCCTTCTTGGACTGTTTATCATGGAAAACACTTGGTCGGTTTGATAAAGCGAGTGTGGTCTGTAGTCCACAGTAGAATGTGGAGTGCCTCATGATCACTGATGGAATTCCTGAACCACATGGATTCATTTCCCATCATATTAATTTAATTGTGTTCATTTTATTATTGAAATTATTTTAGATTTATTATTTGAATTTTTATGAATCTTTTAATATTTTATTTGTAATTTTTGGACTTATAAAAATAAAGTAATTGATTTTACAAAGTTATAAAATTTCAAATAAAAGTTTTAAAATTGTTTTTGTTATTTTAAAAATTTTATAAAATTACATAGGGCCCATAATGCACATGGGCCCACCATGGAGCATGTGGGTGGGGACCATATGTGCCACATGAGGGTGGCACGGCCCACCATTGTATTCTCTTTTGGTTTCTTTATGTTCAAGAAATTTGTATTATGGAAAGTATGTTTTAAGGGATATGGTCAATTTGAGTATATAGTAAACATTGACCTTATCTTATATAAATATGGTAGCATATATTAACTTGATAATATTTGACATATTCGTAAGGAATATATCAGATGGAACATGCTATTTTATGGAATGAATAATATTTTATTAGAATTAATTTATTTATAAAATATAAATGGAAAAGTGGTTTAAAGAAATGGGGATAATGGTCCATGCACCTTTCATAATGTTGATGGCCTATCTATAGAATGGATGGCTCAGATATCTCACCCCACAAATCACCTTGATTAACGGTCTATATTCAATCTCAAGAAAGAGACAAATATGAAAAACCCTAAGAAACCCTAAACCTAACTTTACACTTTAAATAAGGGTGTTTTGAAACCCTTATTCTCTACACCTTCTCTTCCTATAACTCTCTCTCTCATCTCTCTCCTCAAGGTTTCTCTCTCTAAAGTTCTCTCCCTCCTAAAGACCTATAGGGGGATATGCCCCAACCCTAGGCCTCCTACTATCTCTCCCTCTTGACCTATAAATACTAAGGGTTGAGAAATTAGGGTTAAGCCTAAATTATTTTTAGAGTTAGGGTTTTGTAGAGATTTAAGGGTGCTTACTCAGTTTGACCGAAATTGGCTTTCTAGTTCGAGATTGATGCTAGACAGTTGATCCCGCGCCATCAGATATTGGTGACTCGGTGTGGGGTGTAATAAGCCTGGTTGAAGTAATCTCTGACATCTTCTTTTATTTCATGTAAATTTATTTTTATTCTCAAACGTAGTGTTTAGTTGTATAAATGGCATCAAGTGGTTGAGTTTTATATTATTGTTAAGTTGCCTTTATTTTGAAATATTTTTTATTGTAATAAAACTATCTGTAAGTGATCTTTTTGCCAAAACAAAAAAGGGTGATTAAAAAAAAAAATTATATTCACCTGTAAAAGGTCACATACGTCTTACTTTCACCTAGTACTAGGTTTTTAAAAAAGAAAAAGTCTAGAATGAGACCATTTACCTTTAATACAAGGTGGTCATGTTAATCTTGACCATTGGATATGAAATTAGGTGACTGCAATTACTCTATTGACCAAGCTCAAACTTCAAAAGAAATTTTCTCGAATTTTGTGATACATCCAAGCTATCAAATTTCACATCAAATGGTTATAAGGAAGAGCAGTGATCCAATGCAATGGTTGTATCATAGTATAATGCAACGACACTTCTAAAAAACTATGTTTGTGGTATTTGTATGACCCCAAATTTTGCACACACACTCTCTCAATCTCAATAATCAATCCCCCAAAAAATAAAAATAAAAAAGTTATATTTGAACCCTGGATATGGTCAAAATGAATCCCCTCCAAAAACGAATCTAGACCAGTCATTTTGTGAATTTCAAGATCTTAGCCTTTATAAACTAAAAATCAAATTTTTTTTTTTTAACATTTCTCATTTAATGATAATAAAGCCATCCAAAAAAATTGGAAATGAAAAAATCTTTCAAAGGCCTAGATCTAAGCATCTCACCAAAATGAACGGCCTATGTTAATTGGGATAAAAAAATATTTTCTAAGTTGTGTTGTCAATTTTTTATTTTTTATTTTCTTATTGATTGTTCATTAGAATGAAAAGAGTGTATATTTCAAAATTGGATCAAACAAATGGTCATAAGATGGTTTTTTAGGAATGTTGCATTATATTACTATACAACGGTTGCATGAAATCATTGCCCTAGAAGGAATTATAACCACCTTGTATCAAAGATAAATGGTCTCATTGTATATAATTCCTTTAAAAAATGTCAATTCAAATTGGAATTGTCCGATCCAAATCAAAAAGTAGTGGGACCCTGTCGATTTCCTATATTATTGGGAATTGGGAAGTTGCATAAAAAATCGACTGGTTCTTTGATAAAACTGATTAGTTCTATCAGGGATCCGAGTACGACTCCTATAATTTATATTTTTTATTGTATTTTATATGTTTTTCAATTTATATTTTAGTAGCCGTCACTCATTTAATGGGAGTGATCCCACTTTTGTTGCTCCTTACCTCCTTTTTTAATAGGGACTTTTTATTGGGATGGTGATGCAAAATTGCCTTCCATTCAAACAATGGCATTTCTCTCATCACAAGGTGCGCCCTAATTTGGTTGTTTAGATCTTCACATTTATATAAATTTTTCAAAAACCAAAAGTTTTTATATTTCAGTTTTTGAAAAAACGAATTTCAAAAACCAAAATTCTTAAATATTAATATTATGTATGCCCCAATATTTAAAAATGGGGTTGAATTGGTTTTTTGGTTATCATGCATGCCTCTACACTTTCATGTTAAGGGTTTGAGTTCCCCCATATACAATCTAATTTTACTAAAAATCTTAAAAAAAAATTAATAAAAAATAGATATTTTTTATTTAATTAATTGCCAAAAAAAAAAAGGCTCATCATGGAATGGGTGTGGCTTTTCGATTATTATGAATGGTTCTACACTTTCACATCAAGGATTCAAATCTGTCCATTTGCAATCTAAATTTTTTCAATAGAAAATGGATGTTTTATATATATATATATATACCTTTTTCCTTTTTTTTTTCTTTTTTGTTTAGCCTACCAAATTACAAGCACAAAAATTCAGTTTTTCAAAAACTGAAAATGGGCAGTTTCTTTTTTTTTATATAAAAAAAAGTTTTATGAAGTTGAAAAAATATACATCTGGGTAATAACGAAAAATTTTAGGTCTTTTCATAATAACAGATATTTACCTGAGATTTTAGAAAACGTCTACCCTCAATTTTGAAATCTTGACCTTATATGGTTTTAAAACTTTGAAAGTTTGAGAAGTTGAATTTTGATTATTTTCTTTGGTTTCCTTTTTAAGGAAATATGTTTTTTCCTTTTGAAGGACAGGCTTTCAAAGAAAGGTTTTTGAAATATTGTTTGAAAAGAAAGATTTCTTGAAATATTTTTTTAAAGAGTAATTTTGAAATATTTATGAGAACACGTGTCTTACGATTTAACCAATTCTGACCCTTTTGTTGGAATTTAATTTATTTTATTTTATTTTTTAGTTTTTAATTTTTCGTTATTTATTTTTATTATTTCCATTTTTTTATTAGTGACCTTTTATCTGCTTAAAATCTAACCAGGTAACTGAATTTAAGTAAAAAAAACTTTTTGCACCTTGTGTCATAGCATTAAGACTTGAGATGGGTTAATTAATTTTATATGAGCTATGCAAACCTTGACTCGGACTTTCAGGACTTGGAATCATCAAGTATTGTCTTTATCTTCAGTTATTTGTCCTCATGCCATAATCCAAAGAGAAGTTACTTAAGGTCTTTAATTGAACCGATGTCCTGTAAAATGAGATACATCCCCTAGTGTTCAAGAACTCCTTGGATTTTTTTTATTTTGTTCCTCTACTAGCGACCCTAAAATTCGGATGGTCGAGGTTTGTTAGGGTTACTTGGAGAGATCCTCAACCACGGTCATTAGGCAAATGCCCCTTGACTGCTTGAGACACCGATCTTATTTTGCTTTGGAACTTTTCAGTATATTTTGATTTGTTTTGGGATTTTCGTTAGGGAGTCACGGTCTCATTTGATTTGCTTATGAGAACTTCGTATGCCTCTTGGAGTTTCATTGGTGAGTTCATGCATCGTTCGATTTGCTTGAGATTTGTTGTCTTTTCTTTTCTTTTTTTTCATCACATGAGGTCCCTCTCGGGTGCTCAGCCCTATAGTTTTTTTGGTTTTTTTCTCTTCTTTTTTTTCTTTTTTTGACTAACCGAATTGACTTATGGGTGGTGGAGGCTGGTACCTAAAATTTTTAGCAACTTCTTCTCTGGACTTTGACTTCTGTGGATGCCACTTGTGAATTGGGTTCTTTGGTTTGCCCCTCTTGAAGAACTGGAAGTGCTTCTTCTAGCATGTTTCTAGGATCAGTTAACGACTTCCTCATCTCATATTCCCTCTGGAATGCCAGTCACCTTTCCTATTCTTCGGGTACAAGGGGCCTCTAAATTTATTTACCCTTGGATTTCTCTTGGCCCTAGGTTGATATTAGACACCTCTTCGATGGTAGTTGCCCATTTCCAGTGAGATCTTTTGGGTCACTCCAACCGAACCTTGAATTTCTTGACTTGGGCCTACTCTCAGTTTCCTAGCCCTTCAACCCCTTTACTTAGGCTGCAAATCTTATATTACTTTTCCTCTTAAAAGGTTTTTATTGTTATCTAGCCCGATGTGTGTGTTAAGCTTGTACTGCCTTTGAAAAAGACTAATTTCGAGAAACGTGTGAATTTAATCCACTAGCTCATATGAACATATGTAGACGTGAATGCCTCACTTGGTTACTGAAAGAGGAGAATGATCACCCTACTCCCTTATGATGTTTCTTCTCAACAAGAACCTCGAGTTGTTCTTAAGGAATATTAATTCCTTGACGGGCTCATCCTCTATGCACGAGTTCTGTTGAGAATCATGGACGAGGAAGGCAATGTGATTAATACTCGGACGCCTTGTAACGACTTAGGGTTCATGGGATGAGGACTTGTCCTCACCTACTACCCCTATTGTATTGTTATTGTTCGATGAGGCTGCCCCAATCAATTCATAGGATGGGGCTGCCCTATTGGCTCTTCTTCAATAATGGGGACCCCTAGCGGATTTTCTTGGCCTTGGGGTGTCGCTATTAATACAGACACGCCCTCGCCCCTATCGACTTCTAGAGGTTCTTGTTTTGGTTTCCTATCCCACTAAGTGGATTGTCAATTGAGTCATCTCGAGAAGGCAGCTCGAGTGGTCCTTCTATCTTTGGTTCTCCATCCCACATAGGTGGGTTGAAGAGAGATTAAAGATAGGGACGCTCTCTCAAAGAAATAGTCACAAGAACTTTGAGAAAGAGCGAGAGAGCCTCCGAGTCAAAAACTACAAGCATCCAGAAGAATTCTGACATGCTTTGCACAGTGGGGCAATAAAAAACTGGAGTTCTGTTTTTGCTTTCAAGGGAACACTGCAAAATTTTACGAAACATAGAAATGTGGCTCTCTCCTGCCATTAAGTCTATCGTCAAGTTAGCATGCCCAACAAATTAAGCAATAAGTGCTTAAATAGAAATTATTCAGGTCTTATAATTACGGAAAATGAGACTGTCCCAACTGGAGTACATCTCAATGTCAATCATAAAAACCGCATCATCTTATTATGTAAAGCACTTTTATTTCCTGCATTACAACGGATTACTGCAAGTAGCCGGAGCAAAAAACAGTGTTTGGGCCACAAGGTCATATTCGAATTCCATAGGTCTCTACATTAGTTTGCCAAAGGTGGAAATGGAGTCACTAAGCTTTATGATTAAGCACATCAATCCACCACCCATACGCCCAAAAAGACCATCTGGACTGACCTCCCACGTTGCACCGCCATGAAAGATGAATGAGACTGATGGAATTTCTCCTGAACTTCCATTCTTGTAGCAAAGATCATATTCAAGGAGGGGGTCGGGAACCCACTGCTTTTTGCCATTATCCCTCAAAAGCTTGATTAATGGATCGTACACTTCTCGGTTCAAACAAGTGATAATAGAGCCAAAGTCAATGACAAAAGTCTTTGATCCATTTATGGTTGAATCAAAGAAGCTTATGGGGCCATGTACTGGATCAGGACCCACATAAATCTCTACTGGGAACAAGAAATGGAATGTATCAGCAAACGGCCTCCTATAGATTGGCGTCGACTGGACCTTAGGGCTGTTGATCTCAGCATATTCCCCCAATAACATTACACCTTGGCCTTCAGGCTGTGGCGGAAAGCAGTAGCTAAATTTCTTTGGCATGAACGGAGCCAATTGGGAAATAAAAGAGAGAGTTCCACCCCCAAACACCCCAGATTTAGTGTAGGGGTCCTTATTCTCAGTGCCGCAACCGAACAAAATTCCACCAATTCCCAATTCCACAATAGAATAAGTAGTAACACTAATCTTAACCATGTCATCAAAAGCACTAATGGTGCTTGAGCTGTTCGTCTTTGAAGTCGTTAAAGGTTTTATGGAGGTTTCATTCCAGTGAAAGGTGAACATATCAGATGAAAGTATGCCATTGGTATATGAGCCATCCCTATAACTCTCCCTGTAGGTGCAATCATTTGTACAATTGGTAGTAATCATCTTGCACATACTGTCACTGCAACTGATCTTCTTGTAAGAAGAAGATGCTTTGGGATCAAAAATAGGGTTGCCAGACTCACATGATCCGCAGGGTTGGCACATGCTCCAAATGAGATTGCTTCCAGTGTCGATCAACAGAGGGAAAATCCTCAGTGGGCTCCCTATTGCGACCGGCATGAGGTACTCATTGTAGTACCCTGAGGCTGGTGCCTTCGCTCCCCTCTTTTCATCAAGGACAGACGTAAGGTACTGGAGGTAGGAGACAAATCGACGCCCAGCTTGCCTCATTCTATAACCCTCAGTGACATTTGGATTGTGGAGAGTCACGGTGGATGATGTCTACCTTGAATCCCTTAATTTTTCCGGCAAAGGCCGGCCAGAGAAGTGAAGCAGTGGAGATAGTCATGAGTAACAGAGAAATGCCCCTTGCAGTGGCTCTGGTTTCCATTTTTACATCAACTTTGATAAATTTGCAAACATAAATAGCTAGGTCAATGGGCTATCTCTAAGGTTGCCTTGTCACCCTTATTATAGATGGCTTGTAAGACTGTAAGCAAGATGGAGAATGAATCTAATTTATTATGGTTAAGGGTTTCAATAATTTAAAGTAATGTCATTTTAAAAAAGGTCTAATATATTTATCTCAATATTTATAAATAGAGAAAATTAAAGATACACCATAAATTAGACTTTCTAAGCTCCCTTCAGCCCCCCGTCCAAAAATACCTCAAAAAAAAAAAAAAAACTTTAGATATCACACTATTAACCCCAATACTATTTTTTTACACTCATCCCCCAAGCAAAAAAGGTAAAACTTTTTGGACTAAAATACCTTCATTTTAACCCACATTTCCACTATCTCTCTCAGCCAGTCTGGCACAACTTCAATATACAAGCCAGTTTGACATATTTTGTGTCAGACTGGCACAATTTCAATGTACGCTGGTCCAACCCCAACTAGTAGGGGTTTTCGTTTTCTTCAAACTGCAAAAGAAATCTGAGACTCAGTACACCAAGCATACTCCCAAAGCAAGAATGTGTCTCTGGTCTACCAATTGAAATAGGAGATGTCCCTTCGTCGACATGGGGAGTGGTCTCTAGATTACTATAATAAGGGTGACAAGGCAACCTTAGAGATAAATATAACAGTTTGTGGAATCTAACTGTAATCCATGGTCGTATTTTTTATTTTTTGACCTGATTGAACCCGAGTTTTGAGTTAGTTAGGGTTCAAAGTCTTAGACGGGATACTCTTCCATCTCTCAATCAAGTATACTCCTTTATCCAGAGTGAAGAAAGTAGAAAGAGTTTCATGTTGCCCACACAACCACTAGATCGTTTAGCTCTTGTCCCTGCCTCACTGCCTCCTAAAAACAAGGAGAGTGAATCATGAAAATTTGGAAAAAGGGGTCCCAATTAAGGGGACAAAAGTAAGTTAATGTGTGATCATTTTGGTCGTATTGGTCACATTAAGAAGAATTGTTGGAATTTAGTTGGTCGACCTGCAAAATTCAATGCAGGTAATGCCTCATCCACTGGTGGTTCAGCAATTATTAATACAGATCAGGTACAACCCAATGCATTCACAACCTCACTCTGTCCAAAGCGAGATGATATCAGTCCCAAAGGAGGAAATTGAGAGTATTCTTCGGTTGTTTGTACAATTAGATTGCCCATCCACTACCTCTACCTCTACCTCTACATCATTATTTGCCCACTCAGGTATTCATGCTTCTACTAACCATGTCTTTCTCTTTATCCTTCTGGACAGTCCTGAATTATTGATTCTGGCGTTTCAGATCATATGATTGGTATGTCTCGTTTGTTTTTCTCTTATTCTCTTTGTTCTGGTAGAGACAAAGTTAAAACTGCCGATGTTTCTTTCTTGCCCATTGTTCATATTTCACCTCAATTGTCTCTAGCATTAGTTGTTCATGTTCCTAGCTTTAATACAAACCTAATGTTTGTTACTTCGATTACCAAGAGTCTAAATTGTAGTGTAACCTTCTTTCGTTCCCATTATTTTTTAGGACTTGGATATGAGGAAGATGATTGACGATGGTCATGAAGCTGGTGGTCTATACATTCTTGACCAACCTATTACTACTCCACAAGCTCTTCAATCCTGTAGTACTGTTAATAAAGATCGGATTTGGCAGTGGCATCTCCGACTTGGTCATTTGTCTTTTCAGTCACTGCTTTTTTTTTTCCCAAGTTGTTTACTTGCTCAGAGCTTCAATGTAAAGTTTGTGAACTTTCAAAACATGGTAGAAACTCTTTTTTACCCAATAATAATAAAAAAATTGTTCCTTTTGCTATTGTTCATTCTGATGTGTGGGGTCCATCTCCTGTGGTTTCTATTTTTTGTTATCGATTTTTTGTTTCTTTTGTGGATGATATTGTTGCAACTGGTAATTGCCCTAAGGTTTTTTTAGTGAGAGAATTTGGAATCAAAGACCTAAGCCCACTGAAATTTTTCCTTTGAATAAAAGTAGCCAGGTCAAAAAGAGGAATTTTCATCTCTCAAAGGAAGTATATCTTGGATCTAGTTAGGGAAACTGGAAAGCTTGGGGTGAAACCAGCAAACACACCCATAGAACAAAATCACAAGCTTGATGACAAAAGGGGAGAAGCTCTCAAGGATATGGCTATGTTTCAAAGATTAGTGGGTCGATTAATATACTTTCGCTTACATGTCCAGACATTGCATACATTGTTAGTGTGATTAGTCAGTTTATGCATTCCCCACAAACTATCCACCTTGAGGCTGCTACTCAAGGACTCAAGTACCTAAAATCATCACTCGAAAGAGGTTTGATGTTTGCTAATCAGGGGAATTTACGAGTTGAAGCCTATACAAATGCAGACCAGGCTGGTTCTATCATAGATCAAAGATCAACATCATGGTATTGTACTTTTGTTGGAGGGAACCATGTGACTTGTAGTAGCAAGATCAAGTGCAAAAGCTAAGTATAGATCTATTGGGTTTCTATGGCCATTAAGGTAATCAATATCTGAAATAATAGAACATAAACACACTGGGAGCGTAGTCCTTTGTGGACCATACTAGACAAATGCTATTTGTTGATACTTAGACTTGGCTTGATGTGCTAGGTCAGTCAAGCTGGAAAACCCATGGTACCTAGGCATAGAACTAAACCAATGAGGGTTTTGTGGGTTATCCCTTTATAAGGTCGGAGTTGCCCGGATGAGTGAGCCGAGGGACTGTGTGACCCTTGCGTCCGATGGTTGGCCTTTAGAGACGAGGGACAAAGCCTCATCGTACAGCATACGTACATATGATAGCCGTATCGAAAAAGCGAACCACCTTTTAGGGTGAAGCGTGTACATGTGCAAGAGATTACCCCTATGCATCATAGAGTTGTAGTTGCATCAGGTCTAGGTAACCTTGGTTCGTCTTTAGGGGAGTACCTGTAGTCAATAGACTGGGATTGTGTCCCCTTGCCTATTTACTGACTTTGGTGGCCCACACTTTGACGGATTTGATTCCCATCAAAATTATTCAGTTTTAATTATTTTTATATTATATGATTTTTAGATTGATTATTTGAATTTTTATGATCCTCTGGATATTTTATTTTTATTATTTGGATTTATAAAATAAGAGAATCATTTTTCAGTATTTTAAATAATGAAAGTGAAATAAAGCGTATTTCTAATATTCTAAAATCATTTTAATATTCACTAAACACATGGGGGCCCACCAGGAGGTGTGGGGCCCATCTTAAAATTAAAACACATTGAAAAAATTGGGTGGGGCCCCCATGCGGCCACCTAGGCTGGCACGTCCTACACACAGGATGGTTTGCTTGCTCATTTTTGTTCAAGCCAACGTTGGCTTGTAAATCAAGTTATGTGTTTTTAGTATATTTTGTGATTCAAGAATTTTGACTATTCAAAGATGGAATGATTAAGAGAAAATTATCCATAAAATAAAGTATGAAATTATTTTCTATATTTAATTTTTGATGGGATTAGGTTTAGAAAACTGGAGGATAAAGTTCTAGAACCTTCTTGAATCATGATGGCATATCTAAAGAATGGAATATCTCTCACCCCATAAATCTCTTATGATCAATGGTCAACATTTAATCTTACTAAGGATGGCTAACCCTAAAGAAACCCTAGCTCATGAAAAGTCAATAAATAGGGGACCCTTCTCCCATATTCTCTACACACACAATCTCTCCTTGCTCTCTACACTCTCTCTAGGGGGCATGCCCCACTCTAGGACATCTCTCTCTCTAAGATCTTCTCTCTCTCTCTCATAACATCATAAGGGGGGGCCACACCCCACCTAGGTTTGCAAAGAGGGGCACGCCGCATAGTTACTGAGATAAGGCTTAAGCATTGGGCCATAATAGTTCCACATGCTCCTATATTGTGTAAGGTTTGGCCTTAAGATTTCCTATACTTAAGAGGATTTGAGATTGACCATTATCCCGTGTGTCATTGAAGGAGGAGACTCAGTGTGGGATGTGCACGATTGAGATAATCTCTAACATCTTTACTTTGTGCTTTGCATTATTTCTTTCTTGTGCCTTTCTTATTCCCAAAGCATTGTGTTAATTTCTGTTATTGATAAATAAGTTATATTTAGTGGTAGCAAATGAGAACCACTTTTATTTTGTTTATTTTAATCTTCAAGAGAGTTTTATTGTACTTTGACCATTGTGAGTGATCTAGTCGGTGAAAAATAAAAGAAAAAGAAAAATTAAAATTTATATACACCGTGTTAGATCACATTGTCCAACTTTCAAGATGCATGGCTCATGGTGCATGTGGATGATTTTGGCTAAACATTCTCTTACAAAAACTTGGTTTTCTTGTTAAAGGGTCAATGTCATTGTACTGTGACAACAAGGCAGCCATCAGTATAGCCCATAATCCGATCCAGCCAAATTTTCAAAAAATCTCCAACTCTCCAAGTCTTCAACAAACTGACTTCCAAAACTATAAAAAACTAGTAAACTACACAACGAAATAGTCCAAAAAGGCAAAAAAATTACAAACCACATAACTAAATAAAAATCGTCCAAATGTCTAAAGCTCAAACCAAGATGGTGCAATAAAGTTACTACAAAAGAAGCGAGAGGGCAATCAAGACATCAATAAGAATCAAAATCATCATCTTCATTGTTTTCATCTGCATTAGAATTGAGGTCGTCATCCGAATCATCATCCTCTTCTTCCAGAGATTCTTCTAAATCTGCCTCCTCTTCCTCTATCTCCCTCCGTGAAGTACCAGCAAAAGAAGTTGCTCGAGTGGTCCTCCTAGGATCAGAAGCTTGCCCCGAAGCCTACTCGACCATTTCCCAATCAAACCGTCCCCAAGGAAGACCTCCTCAGTACTAGGGTCACTAACTAGCCAATCCGAAGCATTCTCCATGTCTTTCGAAGAGATAGCGTCCTTCTTTGGCTGGTTTTTCTTCTCCTTGAGCCTTTGATTCTCTCTAACAAAAACCAAGTCATTGAGCTTCTTTTGCTCAAGCCTATTTCTTCTCTTTGTATACACCTATAAGGAAAAATAATGCATAAGTAACTACTATAAGTCTATGATCTTCTTACCTTTTATGAATCTATATTACAAAATGAACTTATAAAGAAAAAAAACATATAAAATAGTAAAATACCATCTCAAATAAACTCCAATTGCGCTCACAACCAGAAGAGGTAGTTATCAAACTCAAGATCCGTATAGCCATCTTCTGGAGGTTTGGAGCGCTACTCCTATGATGTCTCCACCATTGGGCTGCAATATGTGGGCAACCGTTACAATTAATTTAGATATTTAACATTATCAAAACTTGAAAGAAAATTATTAATTTATATTTTATAAAACAAAAGTCAAAAGAATACTACCTGGTCCGTCTTTGTTTCTCTGTCTTAATGCCATATCTTTCCCAAATGACATCAAAGAACACTTGTACAAAATTAGCTCTTCAATTGATATCTTATCTTGAATATGTGGATCAGAAACTAAGTTCTCCAGGCACTCATTAAAACCATCCATAATTACCCCTTTTGACTCAATATCTGCATCTGCATAAAAGAACTTGAGGTTCAAGTAGTACCCCGCTGCATGAAATGGTCTATGGAGCTGCCTATCCCATTTGTCATCTATAATCTCCCAAATTAAGGCATACTTCGCTTGCCCAAATTCTCTGCAATCACATTATTAGCCCTTTCCATTGCATCATATATAAAGCCCATGGAGGGCTTATAAGCATCAACCAAGCGCAAGACCTTCACCAAAGGAAGAAATACTAATATCGCATGCTTCATCCCACGCCAAAAATATTTCGAAAGAACAATATCTCGTGCCTTCTTTCCCTTGGAATCTCTAGACCACTTATACCTACTCCACTCCTCTGAAGCAAACATAGACCTTAATGCCATCCTCCTCTTATACATGCGTTGTAGACTAAGGTAGGCAGTTGCAAATCTAGTGACCCCAGGCCTCACTAGCTCTCTCTTTTTTGTAAACTTGCGCATCATGCTAAGGGTAAGTATATGACTGTATATGAAGATTGTAACCTCCTTAGCCTTACAAATAATTCTTTTAATAGTAGGAAATTCACCAATGGCCTCAAGCATAAGATCTACGCAATGTGCAGCGTAAGGAGTCCAAAATATGCAAGGCCTCTTCTGTCGAAGCAAATGACCTGCAGCTAGATTGGGAGCAACATTATCTGTGACCACTTGTATTACAAGTTCCTCCCCAACCTCCTCAATGCCCTTATCAATAAAAGAAAATATATAATGCGCATCATGAACATCATTGGAATCATCGATTGAGCACAAAAAAATTGTACCCGTAGGACAATTTACTAACAAATTCATGTTACTCTTCCTCCTATCTCCACATATCTGTCATTAAAGAAACCCCAAATTTAGCCCATCACCACATATCTGTCATTAAAGAAACCCCAAATTTAGCCCATCCCTCCTTATGAGTCTTGAGATATTTGTTAGTGTACTCAACTTCTTTCTTTAGTAGTGGCTCTCCAATCTCATAAGGAGTTGGACTTTCAAACCTGGCTCAAATTGCCCAATTGCTTCCAACATTGTATGGAAGCTATTCAAGCAAGCAGTGTTAAAACAAATGCATGCATGGTAAAACCACCGAGCAATAGACTGAATCACCCCGGCTCTATCTTCCTTCTTAAACTTATTTTCAATTATCACATTGTTTTTTCCCCTTGCCTCCCATGCTTTTTTCAATTACTGTCTCAGGGCTAGGTGTGAAAAAACTATCTATAGGCCCTCTCGTACAAGCCTTCTTATACCCAAAAGCCCTCTTGGTCTTAGAGACCTGAGTACCAACCATGGCTACCTCTTCCCCATCTTCAGTCTCTTCTTTAGTGTCAATATTATCATCAAAAATATGGACCACTGACTTTAATTCTGTTATATCCTTTGTTTTGCAATTTTTTTACTCTTTTCAACGTCAATGTATTTCAAAATTTCTTTCTTTAGAAGATCTGAGACTTTCTTACATGGAGCAACATCACCTCTAATACCGGTAAGATGTTTCTTAAATCTATTTATGCCGGCATTAGAAACATATCCACAAAAATTGCACATAACTTTATTTTTGTCATTCTTATCAGGGTTAACACGATATTTCCATCCAAGATCTTCACCCCCAATAGACCCTGTAGAAGACATCTCAATTTGGAAAAATAAAACTCAAATAAAGATTACATACTGACCTTTTCTACCCAATCTCTGATCTTCGATGTTGGTTACCTCAATCGAGCTACAAATCAACTCAAAAGTCTTCTAATACCACCAATAGCACCCTAAAAATAATTTCAATGAGAAAAAAAAAAAATTTCAATTCACAAAAAGTACTTTCGATTCTCAAAAATTACTTTAGATTCTCAGAAATAAGTGTAAGATTGAGGGTTTCTTGTTTTTTTTCACTTTGGGGTACAAAAATAAACTCCAAAACTTCTTTTGTAAAAACTTGGGGGTTAAAATGACCCCTTTAGCCCTTTTGGGTGAAGTTAAATACAAAAAAAACGCCAACTGCCTCGAGCGCCCGCCCAAGTACAGCCGCCCATGTAGGGGCGCCCAGGTCGAGGCGTTTGGAAAGTTTTTTCTGGCCGCCTAGGCGCCAGGCGGACCGTTTTCTGAAACATTGGATCCAGCATGATAAGATGAAGCATATAGAAGTGGATCGTCATTTCATTCAAGAAAGGGTTTCTATTAAGGAAATTTGTCTTCAACAGGTTAAAACTGAAGACGAACTAGCAGACATTTGTACCAAGGTTATGGGGAAACCTCGACTAAAAATGATTTTAAGCAAGTTGGGCATGACAGATATCTATGCACCAGCTTGTGGGGGAGTGTTGTGACTAGATAAGTTTTTTCTCTATGCTATTGTGTTTTAAGGCCTTGTGGACCGTATTCTCATTTCCCTTACTTAAGGGCTATTTTTGTAATTGCACTTTTTAACATTAATAAGGGTATATAAGTGAGGGGCATGGGTGTGAAGAGAACACAACACGTTACTCTCTTTTAATTCCTTTCTTCAACACATTATTTCTCCCGTCTCTCTATCTCTATCCATTGTTCTTCCTCCTAATTCTTGATCTCCCTTTACACTTTCTTGATTCTCAACCAACTAAAGTGTTATATTTTAACAAGACCTAATGAGTATGATGAGCTTCAAAGATATTGTTCGCAGTTGGCAAAGGGGTTCATAAGGTTTAGCATGAGTCCATGTGTTGTACCAACCTTGCTTGCCCCAAGAAAAATGGATCATAGTGAATGTGTGTAGACAGCCAAGTGATCAACATGATAACAGTCAAGTATTGGTTCCCTATTCCCAGGTTGGATGATATGCTTGATAGGTTGTCTAGAACAACAGCATTTTCGAAGATTGGCTTAAAAAGTGGCTATCATCAGATTTGCATACGCAAAGGAAACAAGTAGATTTCTAGATGAAGAGTGGGTTGTACGAGTGGTTGGCGATGCCTCTAGGTCCATTGAATGCACCTACCACATTCATGCACATGATAACAACGGTGTTACAACCTTTTTTATTGGTAAGTCCATGGTAGTTTCTTTCGATGATGTATTTGCTACAATGTAGATGCCAATGCCCATATGTACCAAATATTAACATTGTGATGGGGTGAATAGTGATTCATAAATATAATAAGTGCTAACTTTCTAATGTTTTTGGGTTATAATGTGTCTTCAAATGGGATGAAGATAGATCCTAAGATGAGTGATATAATGTAATGGCTGGCTCCAAAATCAATATCATCGGCGTGCAATTTCCATAGACATTACTTTCTATTGGTGGTTCATTACACACTTCAGCACTATCATGGCTCTAACCATGTAGTGCCTGAAAAGCAAAGCTTTCCAATCACCTCAAGACACTATGAATTCTCTAGTACTTGCAATGCTAGATATCAACAAGATTTTCAACAGGGTTTTCAAGATGGAATGTGGTGCTTCTTGCAATGCTTAGTCAAAAAATGACACATTTGACTTTCTCAACTCGCTCGTCCACTCAATTCAGATCGACATTCCATCGGCCACAAGCACCATGGCCAGTCATCATGTTCTCCGATCACCATCAAACCGTGCTTTGATACCGGATGGTATGAAAAGAAGGCTAGAAGTTAAATCTGCCTTCTTTTCGATCCTTGAATATGCAAATTTCAGCTACAATAAGGAAAAAAAGTATGGCCATAAATGAAGCCAAAAGGGAAAGAAGAAGCTCTCTTTTTCACACCAAATAAGATCTCGACTCTTTCATTAGAAAATACTCATGTCAAAACCGAAAATACAAAAACTAAAAATTGAAAAGGCATTTTCCAACTTCTGTAAAAGTCGTGTACCACCCACCAATTTAGGGCCGTCTATTACCCTCACGCACTTCTCCCTCCCTTCCTCTATTTTAGGACTTCATAGCCCTTTCTCTCTTAAACTCATGTACTTACCTTTTTAAATCCCCTAATTTAGGAATCCATGTAACTATTCTTCGACCCCTCTGTTAACCCGCCTAATTTCTCTCTCCAGATATATTAAGTCAGAGGTAGCTCTCTTAAACCTAGGAGTCCACACATTCTCTACCAAATTCCCTATTTAATAGGACCCCTCTTATTTCCAACGTGGAAAATAAATGTACATAGCTAACCAAAAAAAAAATCAATGCCACCTTTTAAGGGCCTCCTAAAACTCCCAACAAACAAGAACTCACGCCACCCCTAATTAAAAACACTTCACTACCCAGCCCATAACAGATAATCAACTCCCAACTTGACCCCCAACAATAATAAAATAAATAAGTAAATAAGTCCATCCGTTCCCCTTGAATTTTCAATAAAAAAATTAAAACATAAAATATTGAATCAGCCCAAGTTTTGATTTGCATCAATAGGAGCATTCATCCCACTTATGGGCTATTGGTGCTGAAATTGAGTCCAATCGGCTCTGATTTCTCTGGAGCTTGGTGGTTTCTTCTCCTTAGCCATAGGCCTTGCTCATTGTGACCTAATGGAGGCCATGTGAGAGAGTATTTGGCAATGTTCCATACAACAATATGGTCCTCCCTACAACTTTCACAATTGTTTAGCTGGTTTAACGGCAGTTAAGCCATTCTCGAGTTCTTTTGAATTCAAAGTCATACAAACCTACCCAAATAATGCTATACTCTTCAGGGTCCGCTTGAAGCACAAACATGTCTAGCTCAAACAGGATCTTGATAGAATCCTAAATGGGACAATAGTCATGATTAGAAATTTGGAAGTATGGTAGGACTTTAAAGACAAGGGAAACTAACTAGGTCACCTTACTTCCGTTGTATTCCACCAATCAAATCAGCCTACTAAAGAGTAATTCTTAACCCTTATTAATTCAAACATGTATGGCACACCGCGCGCATACACAACATGCTTTAAAGAATGGCATACAAAAATAAGTCAAAAGTTTTGATGAAGTTCTACTTTTTATTATGAAGCGAAAAATACACTGTAGACAATTAAATTTATTTTTTTTATTGTGTAAAAAGAAGTATAACTTCATGAAAATTTTGAACTAGTTTTAATACATGGTTCAACAACCAAAAAAATTACAATGCACATAATTAATTATAATTAATTATAGTTATATTATTTATTACAACTAGTACAGTTTACATGCCTCCCATTAGCCAATGGTTATCTGTCAGTAAATCCTATCTAGTTAAATAAATAGCAAACTTCAGTCTAACATCAATATCAGACTGCAAAAACATAAACAATTTTAAAGGATTCAGCTCCCACAAGGCTGTAGAGCCAAAGGCCCCATCATCATGCAAAAGTAAGAACAGTAAACATTGAACATTATTCTTTTTAATTTTTTCCTTTTTTCTTAGATCAGTAATCTGGTATTAATCATGGCAAACTGATCATCAACATTTTCTCTGAGATTTGTTTTCACCTTTAACAGATTGTATTATCTCCTTAAGTAGTAAAAACATTGAACTATCTAAAAACATTCCAAACTATATAAAAAACACAAAACAAATTTCTATATAGTGTATGTTTTCTTGTGCCCTTTTATTTTGGTTTCACTTGAAGGGGACAAGAACATGCTAGCTGAAGAGCATATAAAACTAACCTCCTCCGCCTCCTCCTCCTCCTCCTCCTCCTCTCTCTCTCTCTCTCTCATCTCTCTCTCTTCATCTTCTTCTTCTTCTTCTTCTTCTTTTTGATAAAGCAACTTTAAATTTCACTCATATATATGCAACTTTGTTTGAAGTGGGAGGTACACCTAAACATGCCCCTTGATGAATGCCTCCCAACAATGTCTATTACATAAAGAGGATTCTCAATGCCCACAGAAAATATGCTTGAAACAAAATGTATTCCCAAACACAGCCAACTTGCACTGCAGAATTTTGAGATACCACATCATATAGCAAATCTCAAACTCATATGTCAATAAGAAACGACTACCCTGCATACAAAGAGAAGACAATGACCACATCACCCACATTTGGCAAAGAAATAACAAGAGAAACACGACACCTATTAGGAACATTAGATTGATATCAAGTTTGAAACATTGCCCACATTTTCCATCACAAAGTATAGCACGAAACTCCATTTCTTTGCGCTAAAAAATTGAATGCATGAACATAAGACCTTTTTTATTTGTTATTAGGGCTTCCTTGGTGACTAGAAAAATATAAAGGCCTCCTTCCTGAGCTTCACAAAGCTGAATACGAAGCCTAAGTATAAGCTATGTAAGAAGGACATATTGACATTAACACCATGACCAACATGCATGTTGACATAGCATGTCCTGATTTATTTATCTCTTCTTTTTCTGCACAGACCACATAGCTCTGGATTTCAGTCATCAACATATATGCTCAGAATTCACCTGTCTGGATTCCAGATTCTACGACCATATAGAAGTACATATCCATAATTTTTGAAAAGTACGTGTAGGAGATGGATAAAAATATCTCTTTTTTTTTCCTTGTTCAATTAGTATCACTTTAGACACGATACATACATACATAACAGATGTAAAAAGGCCCACAAACTAGAATTGGATGGACTTGCCATGTCCCACATGCCACTTTTTTAGGAGCTTTGTCAAGCACAGCATGTTCATGTCACAGAAAGGCATGGATGTTCACGTCCTTGTACAGTCTATAAGTGATTTATATGATTTCCGTTTCTTTTCTTTTTATTTTTTTGTGGAGAATGAGCAGTCTATATGATTATGCCACATTCAAAAAGATATTATCAGTGAGAAAATAATAATTACATGCAAAACAAGAATGACACAATCCTGAATGGATAGGAAGATTAATTTTATAGTAATAATCAACAGTGCTTCAGCAATGATCCTTAAAAAAAAAAAAAAATCCTTGCTTCTGTATTTTCATAGGTCACTTGTTTAGCCTTCCAACATCCAAAAGCCAAAGCAAAAAGCTAGGGGAGATATATCGTATTGTATTAGGGTAAAACTCACTTGCCCACATTCCAACATCTTGTACGTCTTTACTTGAAAGATAGGCTTGAGCCCTTGACGAATTTATGCCATGAAAAAACACACAAGCGACATTTATCTGGATTAAAGAGCACTATAATTTGAATGCTCAAAGTTTTCCTTAGTGGGATATAATACTCAAGCCTTAATTGTATAAAAAAATGATACTTACACTTCACCGCTGCAATTGCCTCCTTGCTAAAGCTGAGGGTCGTTTTGGTATGTATACCTTGTAGCTCACCTGCCCAATGTTTCAGTATATCAAGGCCTTCTGAAACCCAATTCAGGGTTGAACTCTACATATCTCTTTATGGGGGGAATTTTCTATATCTAATTAAGCCTACATTTTTTGCCTACATTTCCTTTTCTTTTTACGGAAGAGATATCAAATTTAAAACACTCAAAACAGCACCATACATGCATATTTAACTAGTTAATTAGTAAACAGAAATTATGCAAACCCAGATAACTTACCTGCACCATTTCTCCACCCCGCATTACCGACATCGTTTTCTGCTCAAATTGCGAGCTATCTATAGTCCTACCTTTCGAATTATCCAATTCTGTCTTATTCATTGCTGGGTCATGCCTGCAAGAAGCATCTGAAGAAGATGCATCAGCTCTAATAGTCCCTAATTCCATCTCACCATTTTCAGTAGGAGAGGGCCTCACTTCTGTAACTATTTTTTCTTTTGGGGCAGGCTTCACTTCATTAGCTCCTTTTTCACTTGGGCCAGGCACCACTTCAGTAACTCTTTGACATGGAGTACTCATGATTTTCTGAGATAATTCCTGCTCAGAGGGTTCATATGCACTGGGCATATGAGTGGCGATTTTCTGGGTTTCATTAGTAGCATTAAGTGCTCCCTCGGCAATTCCAGTAAGCGCACTACTAGAACTACCATTTATTGAAGTGGCAGTAGCAAAATGTCCAGGATTAGTAATAGAAACATCTTGATTGGGATGTTCAGTGGTTATTCGAGAAAAAGCAGAAAAACTGGCTTCCTTGGCACTTTCACTGCTAATGTTTTCATTCTCAACTTCTTGTGCTGCTAATTTCTTATCAGGGGTCTCAGATGGTTTTCCATAAGTATTCTCATCATTCCTGGTTGCCATTGCCCCAAAAGCTCTACCCTCAGGCCCTTTTCCATTAATATTTAGTGCTTTCCCACCAGGTCTATCACGAAACCTTTGCAAATTTTCCAAAGCTTTATGTCTTAAAAGGGCCTCCAAAGCCTCGGTATCAGGTTTATCAAAATCAACAGTGGTCTCAACATTTTCCTCTTTGCGGGAGATCCTTGACTGAACTCTATGGGAAGGAGAACCACCCCCATTAGACCCATTAGACGAGCTGATCTTACTGCTTTCTCTAATGATGTCCAGGTCCTTAGCAGAATATCTTTCAACCCCACTGTCATGAATTGATGACTCATCAACCTTCTTGGAGCTAGAAGATTGGACAATATTAAGGGAACCTGCACTTTCCTTTTCAACTGGCTCGCATCTCTCAATAATAGAGGACAGTACACTCCTTCCTCTTCTATCTGTCTCATCATCTGTGTAAGATGGGCAACGATCATCCAACTGTATTGCCATCTTATCCTCATTTTCTCTCTCCCCTATTTTCTCCTTTTTTGATAAAGTTGCACTCCAAACTGGTTTTTTATGATGGGCTACTCTCTCCTCATCTTCAGTGCCACCACTACACGATGAGCACCTATGAGGCCTATACCTATCATAATATTTATCATTCTCATCGCTAGCCCTCTTCAGAATTTCCCCATTCTTCTTCATTTGGTATTTTGAATGAGATTTAATTCTTGACGAGTTCCGACCACTTCTCTTATATCTTTCTCTATCACTTTCTGAGCTGCTACTACTACAACTCCTACAAGTTGAGCAACTCCTTCTGGAGTACCTGCTCAAGGAACTACTTCTTGAGCTTCTTTTCCTCACCTTTCTTTTGTGTTTGATAGGGCTTCCCCGCTTTCTTTTAATTGAATCACTCCTCTTCCTCATGCTACGCCTGCTTCTTCCTCTTCTCGTCTTCTTGTGATGAAGGTCCTCATCTTCACTACTGGAATAATGGATTATTTTCCTCTTGTGACTACTTTTTCTCGTCCTAGGCCTTCCCCGATTTGAATCATAGGACTCAGAGGACGACCCACTTGTACTAACCAAGCGTCGCCCATGTTTCTTGAGCTTCTTTCGCATCTTTTGAACCTAGGGGTGGAAAACAAATATCCGAATACAGAAAGAACCTCAATTATCATACAATCAGAAAGACCAAGTACCAACATGGATCATTCACTTCGCACGCTAGCTTCAATAACACCATACAAAACAGAAATTTATCCAGCTACCAGGAAAAGCATATGGAAAATAGAAAACCCTATTTCCCATAAAATCAAGCAAGCAATTCAATTTCACAAATCTATCAAGCTTGGCGCACCCACATCAAAGTGCCTTCACAAATTATGCCAAATCACAAAGAGCGAATTCATATGAAGAAAAAGAAACCTATCAATTCCTATCAAACCCCACTAATTTTACAAGCCCAAGAATCAGCTAGAATTGCAGATGGGTGGGAAATGCAATATGGTATCATCTAAATGATTGTGCTTTCATGGTGTACCTCAATACGCTTTCCATGTTTATGAGATTTGGACGTCATTGCTCTGGTGCAAAACCTGCATCAACACCAAAAACAACAAAGAGGAAAAACAAAACAAAATAGAACAAAACAAGACAGAAAAAAATGTATCAAAAACAAAGAAGATCGGAGCAGTGCTCCATAAAAGGGCTCTAAGGAATCGTGTACGTTTGGATTCTATTTTCCCAGAATTCAGGGCTTCTTAGAGCATAGAAGGCCTCTGCACATTTCAAGAACTATAAAGTTAAAGCGAAATTAGAAGCATATGTAGAAATGGGGCATGGGCATAACGGAAGACTGATCCACACTTTCGGAGCGATGGGAAAGAGTAAAGTAGAGTCCCACGGCTCATTATGGCCCGGTTTGGATGACAATCAATTTTGCATAGGGTGCACTTTGTATAGAGCCTATGCTCTAAACAATCACATTAGAGCCTACCTTCAAATAGTATCGAGAAATATGATTTTAATTCTGAAAATCTCTGTGATAGCCTTAAAATATATTTTTATCTTTATTTATAGAGTTTAAAGCTTTAAAAATAGTGTAGATTGGCATTTCTATGAAAACTTAAAAATCTTGAAAATTGAAGGGTATAAAAATATATTATATATTATTTCCAAAACTTGAAATCAATTTTTTTTTCTAATGTCCATGCATCTTGATGTCGAGATGATCACTTTGAGGGTATTTAGGCATCAAAACAATCTCTTCTAGTGAAAGTTTGGAGGTAGGATCTAATTTGGTTGTTTAGAGCCTCGGCTTCATATAAACTTCTCCCTTTTGCATAAAATTATAGCCCACCTCAAAAATTTCACTAGAAGAGGTTGCTTTGATGCCTAAATATCCTCAAATTGATCATATTGACATCAAGATGTATCGACATGAGAAAAATGGATTTTAAGTTTTTGAAATAGTGCATCTTGTAACGTATTTTTTTACCGTAAATTTTCAAGTTTTCATAGATCTACTCGATCTACACTTTTTGTGAAGCTTTAAATATTATAATTCAAGATGAAAATATTTTTTAAGGCTATCACAAAATTTTTTAATATTGAAACTACATATCTCGACATTATTTGAAGGCGCACTTTACTTTGATTGTTTAGAGCCTCGGCTCTATACAAACCGCACCCTTATATCAAAGATACATGCCAACCTTAAAATATATATGGAGTTCAGGTGCACCTCAAAACTCTATATTAAAAAGCTGTTTTGAAGTTGGAAACACCTCCAATTGATCATATAGACATCGAAACGTGTGAATACAAAAAAAAATAATGCATCTTGCAGTGCATTATTTGGACCGTTTATTTTCAAGATTTTTATGTATTTATATATCTATTTGATTTGAACTATTTTTGGAGTTTAAAATTTTATCATTAGATATGAAAATGAAGTCTTGGGGTATTCTAAGAATTTTTTACACCAAAATTACATCTTATGATAAAATTTGGAGGTGCACCTTACTTTGATTGTTTAAGGTTGAAACCTTATGCAAACTACACCCTTTTCTTTAGGGATTAGGCTTTATAAAAACAAAGTAAAGCTTCACCTTGAATTGTTCTTTGGAAAGTACTTTGGGTATCAGAAATCTCGAGGATGCTCTAAAATCAATCTCCATCACCGACTATAAAATTTGAAGCTGCACAGATGTTTGAACACTTATTTTTAGGGCAAAATGGATAGTCTAGATAATATGTTACAAGATATGCTATTTTTTGAGCTTGAAATCCTAATTTTTTTCACAATCGTAATGCTCAAGGCCAAGATGATCGATTTGAAGGTTTTTAGTACAAGAATTATAATTTTCAATGATTTTTGAGGTGAGACTTTTACTTATTTTGATAAGGATGCAGCCTTTTCAAAACATTTTCCTTTTATCAAATAAGGAAGAGGTTTTTATGAGTAGGCCGAACCATATGAATCCTCCATCCAAAATCGTAAAGATTGGGTTGGGATCTAAACATTTTAGAATTTGACAAACACAAATATAAAAAGGAAAATTAATTTTAAAAATAAAAATTAATTTTTTTATGTCTTTTTTCACACTGTTGATTTTTGGGTTTTGGATAGATGTAAGATGCGCCAGGGACGCACATGTAGAAATGCGCCCCTCGATGCATGCTACACTATTCCATCAAATAATATTCAGTCATGGTCAATGTGAAATTGGGTAGTTGTATAATTGATTAGACTCAAAGTCTAAAGAAAATTTTTTCAAACTTAATGAGACAAACTAAGCTATTAAATTTTACATCTAATAGCTAGGAGCGATTGTGATCTTCTTATACCAAAACTAATGTTTAAAACCTGGATCAGTCAGGTGAATCAGCCATTCAAGAAACCTGTCCAGATTAAATCGCTACAAAAAAAAAAAACAAAAAAAAGTAAAAATAAATAACAATAACAATGAAAACGGTAAAAAAAACAAAAATGTGTGAACTAACAAGATCGCTTGGTTCCCCGACAGTCCTTCAGTGAACCAGACGATTTTACGCGGAACCTGTTAATTCCCAATTCTAAATGTGATGCACAATCTTTCGACTAGTCAATGCAATTCTCATTGGCATTTTGACCCAATCAATTAATCCTTTGATGAACCCTTTATGATGATCCACATCCCAAGGTCGCAAGAAGATCTAAGAGGGGAAGGCTAACTTTTGAATGAGTTTATTTTTAGTTTGTTGCAGTTTTTTAGTCTTTTAGTGATTTCCAATGTTCTAATTAAAGTTAGGCCAGTTTAGGGACCATTTTTATGTTAATCTCAGTGAAGGACTTATGGGATATTTCTATAATTTTTTAACTTAAATATGGTTAGTTTGGGTCTTTTTTTTTCTTATAATGCAATAAAAGGCTATGGGTTGCTAAGGCTTCTGACCCTTTTGGGGCGTGAACAATACAAATAGGGTGTGAACAACAACAACATGTCTTATTTAAGGTTTTGGACTCTCTTTTTTGGACAAAGAAAGACAGGTCAAGGTAAGTCCTCTCAAATCTGACATATTTTGATAGCCTACTAATTATTTTTTCTCTCTTTTTTTTTTTTTTGACATCAATTGGCATTACATCTAGGTTTTCTTCAATGACAAAGCTGAGAATCTATATCTAAGTCAGTGGTTTGCTGATTTTAAGTTATGTTTTATCAAATTAGCCAAGAGGTTGCTAGTTTCAACTAGGTTTTATTGGTTTTCTGTCGAGGGTATGTGATTTTAGTAAACCTATGATTGCAAGAAGAGATTGAAGCAGGGGTATTCATGTGAATCCACCTCGTAATGAGTGGGATCAGGGGATAAATGATATGAGTCAAATAGGATATAAGGCCTAGGCTTTATCAAAACAAAGTAAAGCCTCGCCTCACGAAAAATTTTGAGCCCAAAAATCTCTTACCTTTTACAATTTTCAATATCCAAATATTTATGTAGCTTGAAATTTTCATATTTTTTGCAATTTTAGGATTTTGAATATCTAGAATTTTATTTAGCCCAAAAATTTTATTTTTGTCAAGTTTTGGATTATTAATATGCAACTCTTTTTGCCTGAATAATTTCATTTCTTTCTTTTTTTTCTTTTACTAAGTTTGGACTTTTCAAATCTGAAAATTGTAAAACACAAAAAGAAATCAACAAATTCAAGAACTTACAAGGCGGACTACAGGCATAAATCATGGGCAAGATAAAGTTTTGTTTATCCAAGATGATGTTGAATACAACCCTTTTCATAATTATGCTCCGAGATGAGTCGATAAAAGAGGAATATGATCAAGAAGGATAAGTAGTACTCAAAATCTATAGATCTAAAAGTACACATTCCTGATTTTGAAGGGAAGTTGCAGCCCACCAACTTCATAGACTGGTTAAACACAATAAATAGGGTCTTTGATTATAAGGATATACTATAGAATAAAAATGTTAAAATTATTACCAATAAATTGAAGAAAAAGTATTTCAGTATGCTGAAAACAATTTAAAACAAAGCGAGAGAGAATGAGACAACCTAAAATTGTGTCGTGGGAGAAGATGAGGAAAAAGATGAAAGAGATAGGTTGGTGGATATATTTCACCAAGGAGATAGGTTGGTGGATGAATACAGAGATGGCGTTCACCTTTTGACTGTGATGTGATTGAGCGGGAGGAGCAGTTCATTGCCAAGCATGTGAATGGAATGTGGCAATTAATTCAAGATGTAGTAGTTTTGTAGCAATGTATAACCTTGCAAAGAGGGTTGAAATTAAGCAGGGATGACCCTTGAATAGGCGGGGTGTGGGTGTGTGTGCAGGTGCAGGTGTTGGTGCAACGTGTTCGGGCAATGGGCATGTCTCATCACAGTGCCCAAATAGAAAATTCGTTAACCTTTCTGAGGAGTTTTATGATAAGGACAACAAAGACTCTTTCTTTAAGGTGATCCTATGTACAATGAGCCAGTTGATGAAGAAGACCCGTAAGTGACATATAGTGATCATGAGGAGACATTGGTGACCTGATGCAACATGATTATGCCTCAAGTCAAGAAGGAAAATGACTGGTTGCACACAAACATATTTCATGCACTTGTAACGCAAATGCGAAAATGTGTAATCTAATCATCGATGGAGAAGTTCAATGATATTGTTTCTTAGAAGATGGTTGACAAGCTTAAGCTCAAGGTGAAAAACCATCCAAAGCCTTATAAAATTATGTGGTTCAAGAACGACAATGAGGTAACTATTTCTAAAAGATATCTTATTTCTTTTTCTATTGAAAAGACATACAAAGATGAATATGAGGAGATGCAGTGCTTATGACACTTGCCATTTGTTGTTGGGGAGACGATGATAGTATATTATGCGTACGACTCATAATGGTTTCAAAAACACTTACTTCTTTGCAAACGATGGAGTTAAAGTGATTATGAGGCCCTCCAAGGTGGACAGTGCTTCAAAATCAGAAGAGGACAACACTAATATCGTATCTTCGACAGAGTTCATGAGGGATTTGGGTGAGTAAGGTATATTGTATGTTGTGGTGCCAATTGAAAAAAAACTCATTAGTTTTATTCATCCTAACCTAGACCCATGGATGAGGGAATTCAATAATATTAATACTAGATGATCGTTCCGAGGGATTATCTCTCATGTGAGACATCCAACATGAGATCGACCTCATCTCTGGTTCTAGCCAACCAAATAAAGCAACCTATAAAATGAGATTTAAGGAGCAAGATGAGTTATAGGGACACGTTTCAGAGTTTCTATAAACAGTGTTCAGCAAGGAAGTGTGAGCCTAGGTTGACGCCTAAAAAATTAATTCCCGACACATATCTGTGGATAGCAAGGCGATTGATGAAATTACCATAAATTATCACTTTTTGGTACCACTTGTAGATGATATATTGG